TTGCCTGTGCAATTTCACTTTTTAGGGTTGAAATACATCGCTCTGCAAGCCCTCGACTTTTAGTTTCTGTACTTTTATTTCAGATTCCAGATTTATTTCTATTTCAAACGATTTTGTAATATGTTTTCTGAGATCAAGCTTTTGAGAGTCCAGATCATTTCTTGTCTTTTCCAGGTCAGATTTACATTTTTCAATGTCTTTTTTAGTTTTGTGTAATTCGCTTTTATCTTCCCTTTGTTTATTCCCCTTTTTGGTAGTTTAGAGTTAAAAGCCGAGAGTTCCGACCACCATCTTGAATTTTGTAATCGTAAATTTTATTTCGAAATACGAATAAATTTGCAGAATCAGGATGGGAAACATTCACACCGTAGGCCCAAATGAAGCCCTTGTTATATCAGGTAATTATATTCTCCATTTTTAAGATATTTGCATGGTGAACATTTTAGAATGTCGTAGATACAGAGTCTGGAAGTGATGTATTTATCCGATCGGTGTCAAGGCCACTTATTTCTGTTAATATCAGTTTTATCTGACCAACTTTTGTATATATCTTTTTTTTTTGTACACTGTCACAATTCAAAGATTTTGAAATATTCATGTTCATAATACGTTGGCCGCCAATACGTTTGTTAAAGTAATCAAAGCTTAATCTAATTCGATTATCAACTGACAAAAATTAATGTAAACAAATGAAATGGCAAATTTATTCACTCCAGCATTCCAGGAAAATAATATGAATTAGGCAAACCCTCAAAGCGATCTCTTTGACAGAAATAATAGTACATTAATGATTATAAATTCAACCCATCAGCGGTTACACATTTAATATTATCAATACAATTAGGACACAACCACACACTATAGGCCCATTTCATATTTTATATGATACATGTCATAAAATTTGCATGTAAATTAAATCCACCCATCGGACAACATAGATGGGAACCATAATAGGACGGAAACAGATTAAAGTTCTGGTAATATGAAATTGGGCAAAGCCTATGAACAAATATAGTCAGTTAAAACAAATATTCATTTTTATTTTACATTATTTGTTTTAAAAGTGCCATTAAGTATTTTAAACACCTGAACACTTCTTCTGTTTATTTTGGTTCCCTGTCCTATAATATGGTTTCCACAGAAGTGGGCAGGAGACCAGTCTACGCATCCATTTTTAATAAGAATTTCCTCAGGTTTTAGCCTTATCTTGTAAGTCGAAAGTTGCGCTTTGTCTATTACCCATAATTTTGCAGTACTTCCAATCAAACTTTTTAAATCCATCACTGTATATAGCTTGTACTTGCATTACAGTAAAGCTCCCTTTGCGAGCAGGCACTTTGGACCTGCTCTTCTACCTGCTATCAGTTTTACAGACATTTCGTAAGCTTTGTAAATAATATAATAACTTTAAGCCAGTCTTCGTAATTAACATTTTGAAGTTACTGGCCAGTAACTTTTGAGAAGTTACTTGCTCGATACCAACTTTATTAGCCGGAATAAATTTTTCAAATTTTGATGTTTTTTTTTTATCTTTAATGCTGAAGGTAAATAAAAGAAACAAAAGGAAATCCAATAAAAGTCTTGTGTCATAGTTTATTTTATTGTTATTCCCTGCTGTACATGAAAATCATTTTTCACGGTTACTACGATATGATACTTGACAATGGAAAACGGAACATAAACAAAGTTAGTTCCCAATAAATTTCTTGCTTTACATGGCGGAAGTAAGCCAAGAAACAGTAGTGACGTGGCAAAAAGTGAGCGGTTGAACACCACTATAATGAATTTCGCGATCGGAAATTTTACTCGCCAGACAGGCAAGCAAAATTGGATTTTTTAGCCGCCCGAATTTAATATTTACTTGCCAGGGCGATCGGGCGAGTGCTAATTTCAAAGACTGCTTTAAGCTTATGTTTATAGTTGTGTAAATTGTGTCATCCATCGCACGGCGGTTTCGCTCCATTTTAATATTTAAATGAATATAGAGTGGAAAAAGTAAAATTTGAGAGAATTCTGTGTGATCCATCTTAAAAATAGGGAAAGAATTTTTTTAGTGATAATGCGATATATCTCACTGAGAAGTGAAAAACTGGTAATGACATTATGTTTTCCGCAAATCAACATTTTTTTTCTGTCCTTAATTTTGGGGAAAAATTACACTGACTGTATATTTGCAAAAAGGGAAGAAGTACCTGATGTAAATTCAATTTTTGTGGAAAACTGCATGATTATAAAGAATTTTTCACTTAATTTCATTCTTAATAAGCGGGTTAAGCCAATTAACCATTCCTTACTTGACCTGTAATTTTTTAGAGCCGCTGTCACTGTTGAAATATCTAAGCTTTCATTTTCATTTCTAAAATTCTCACTTTTTTCCCTGCCATTATTCATAAACGATGTCAGTGTTACATATACTGGTCGGGGACCATCAACCGGACACTTTTTGAACATTTTTCCATACAGATTTCATAATTTTTAACCTACATGTAGAGACCTTAAAATTTGACACAGTTCAGCTAGGTTCTTCTCCTAACTAACAAACTAGTTTGTTTATTTCCGATTGTATTGACACTTATATCTGAGGCTCGACAAGGAGGGTATCAAAATTACCTAGATTGTCTACACTACAGTACCATGTGTCCGGACACATATGTATATCACGTGATTTAATTCAGATAAAAGCTGGGGTGTTTTGATTTTAGATTTTTAACATGATATACAATATTAGAACAAATGCTGAAGTTTTTGATATTCTATTATTCACTCTGCAAATGATTATAGCTGGTATATGAGGTCAGGCATTGCTTTCTTGACCCCCTAATTTCAACGTCAACATTCTTGAAATAGACATTAAAATATTACTATTTACGGAGGTTAAAATAAATTAATTTACTTAATTTTAGAATAAACATGCACTTATTGTTGATAAAAAAGTGACTGACAACCACTGAACAAAGAAAATACTAAATTAAGCATTTTCTGGGTCGTCCGGGTTTGGTGGTTGTCCGGTTTTGGTGGTCCCCAACCAGTATATATATTAATGTAAGTTTTTTTAGTCAGCAAAATTTTAGTGTAACTTTACGTAAAAACTTCTTTTTGCTTTTAAATAAATAATCAGCATCGAGAGAATGTGTGACATTTGAAAAAATCTCTTGATCTGAAGAAATATTCACAATTTTTGTTGTGGTACATTTAATTGTCTATACTAAGCAGTCTGCGAAAAATTGGGAAAGTCCGAGCCCCAGTTTAGTAAAATTTCTTTTCGGGCTGGCATAAAATGTAGGGAGCCTAGTTTGACAGTCTAGCAATGTTTTGAGATCTGATAAAAAAAACAACAACATTTATATGCAGTGATTGAGAATATTATTGTAATTTGATTTTTTTCATGGTATTGGCATGAGGTGTCCAGTGTCCAAAATGATTTATCTATAGTTTCATTTAAGCCTGTTGTATTTATAATGTCAGACCGAGAGGGATATGCGTATTGATTTTTTTCCTGAGTATAAAGCTCTCAAAACATATTGCTAGACTGTCGAACAAGGCTCCCTACATTTTATGCTAGCCTGAACGGAATTTTACTAGACTGGGGCTTTCCCTATTTTTCGCAGTCCGTAACATTAAATTTTTTGGTGAGTGATCATAATAAAAAATAATTTTTATAAATTAAGTAACTACGTTTTTTGTACGGGAACTGCTCGCATGCCAGTAGTGTAGAACTCAACAAGAATCCAAGTACGGTAAAGGAACCAAACTCAGTAAGATTAAGAATTTGATTTTGGGAAAGGGTCAGATCATTATCATGTGAACCAGTACTGGGTGTAATTATAATAAGAGACTCTGTGTCTTATAATTTTAATGATGAAGTAACATACAAAAGTAATTATTCTGACTATAGTAAAATAAATATTGTTCTGATTTATATTTCATTTAGAAAAAAATATTAGGATTTTATTTCATCCATGGAATTATTAAAGGATGCCCAAAAGTGGTTTATTAAGTTTCACATTTTCAAGTTGATTATTAAACAATCAAATTGTTAACAATCAGTTCAACTGTTAAAAAAGAAATCATACCAGACTGTTGGAGCATTGTAATCATGCAAAATACATTATTGTGATACATAGGCTACAAAATTCACACAACTCAGAATGAAGTTTTCAAACAAATTCAAACGGAAAACATCTAAAAATCACATCTAAAAAATCGACAACTTCAGTTAATTTCTCCTCCATTAGCATTTACAACAGACTATGAATGATTGTAGTTCATTAAAATTTCACAAAGTGCTAGAGATGACTGGGTCAGGAAGCATTTCTCTAACTTACTTTGGTTTTTATTTATTTATAAAATACTTAAGTATGACTACTTATCTGTAAGTGGTATCTGATTGAAACTTCATACAGTACAGACTGATAGAGGGCATGCAGAGAGGAAGTGTAATGTTTGGAACCATATTATAACTCTAGATTACTTATTTTTCCCAATTATCTCTTAGCTTAGTTAATATAACATATATATTATCATCAAGAGAAAATTGGTAGTAATTCTCTTTTCTTTCAGGGAGCATTATTTTGTTTTTATAGCAATTTCTTGTTGATTTTTAATCATGCAAAACCAAGGTGAAAAAAAAAAGATTCTAAACTTTTTTAGCTGGATGTTTGGAAGACAATTAATGTTTCCATTCAAATTTAGTAAAATTTTATTTTTTAGTTTAAATTAAAGGGCAACAAATATAAATCTATGAAATTTTTAATTAAAATATTTATTTAATGTATAAATAATTTTCACTACCAATATATATGGTACATGTTTCTAATATTATACAATGTATTAAAATGTAGGTAAAATATTTAAGAATAGATACATGTATCTAGTAGGATACACTACTGTATTATTTTTATGTGTACACATTTTGAAATACTAGAGGATACGGACTGTAAAAGGTCACATAAACATGATTTTATATCTATTATTATTGTGGTGTCAAATTTTGAATGGATGAAAGCTTACTCTTTATGTTGATGTACTAATATAAAAAATTTAATATTCTGTTTTCATAAAGTAAAAAATATGAAAGCCTTTCATCATCAATTCACTATGAGGTAGAGAAACTTCTGTGCTCTTTGTGAGTTTTGGTTATGCTATTATTTTACTCATGTTATTTTAGAACTACTCACATGTTCAAAACAAAGTCATATTGAGTAAGCTTTGATGTTGCCAATTTTTCAATTTATTACCTTTTTCATTCTCATTTGAGTTTTGACAATTTCATTGAGCTTTACTTTTATATTGTATTTCACAATTTTTTTTGTTTATTTGGTGTATTTTGAAACAGTAGCCTGTCTTGTAACGAAATAAGTGAAGACAACAGTCAGTATTATTTCAAAATAACTGAACTTTTTCTAGCCATTTTGGGAATAAGTACTAAACCCATTATGTGTTTCTGGTGTTTTATAGTCAATAACTTCACTTTGACAATTATCGTGAATTTTCATTAAAGGCCCATTATGCCTCACAGATGCTACCAATTTAATTTCTCTAAATCTTTTAATTTTTGGTATCTTGTTAAAGTTTTAAAAGTAATACTCATTTGCTACATGCATGGACTATCTTTTGCAACTATAGCTATGTTGGCAATCAACATAATAATAGTTAATCAGTATTTTGTATGGAAGTCAACTACCACTTTGTTTACATTTTGCTACCTTTTGGACACATTACTGCAAGTTATGTGCTACTTTTTTCAGTTGTTTAACATCTGACAAGCTCTAAATCCATTATTAAAACATGCTTAAACATGTTTCTGACATTCAAAAATAATTTAAGAGTATTGATTTCTTAGGCATAAGGTGCCTTTAAACAATGGCTTTGTGAATGAGGACCTAGCTATTATCTCATTCTGCCCGTGTTGCATAGATAGAGTATCAATAAATAGCCACCAGCATTTAAACTGCTTCCACAAATATATCTGAAATACTGAATATTACTTTATGTTTAATCATCAAGTTAATGCCATACTTGCTGATGGTTATTAGGTTTATAAAGATGACCGCTTGGTGTTTAAGTGTTTAACCCATGTACATGTTAGACTTACAGTAAATGCTAATACTAGACAGGGCAACCAGGAAATGTGTACAAAACCACTAGCCAATGTGCTATTAATAAATTCTCTATACTATTATTTATGTATAACCTCCAATATTCCATACCATAGAATAAAATATTGATGAAACATGTGTGGGTTACAGTCTAGAGCTACCAGTATGTTGATTTACACATGGCCAGACAAATATCCATGAATATGATATCTAAACAAAGCAACTAGATTACAGAGGGGTAATTTAGTAGTCTCAAGTTATTGCACTACACTTATGTATTTTAAACTTTGTGGCATGGCATATGAGAAATTGCATTATAAGGATCCTGTAATATTAAGTTTAGGCTATTGGTTTTTCTGGCAAGAAGTGTCTCAGAATATGCATGGCTTAAATTTTGACAGTAACTATGTTTATAAACTGTGATTTCAATATTTAATCAGTAAGAGATTTTCCTTTAAGACTCTCCTTTGGGTTGATTTTACTGTTGAGGCAGTATGCTTGAAATTAAATACCCAGCAAAGTACTTCTGATTTATTTATTTATTTATAAGTAATGTTTATATAGAAGTTTAATGTACTGAGGATAGAATTACTTCCTACTTTTATGATTATACATGTAATGCTGTACATGTACACTAGATTGGAAAAAGATACTACATATACATAATGTTATGACTAGAAAAGTATTTACATTAAGGCCATCCAAGGGGTATATAGTGAGTGAACAGGTGAAAGTAATAATAAGTTTTCATTTTGCCATAATTCCTTTCAATTTAATGATTTAATAATAACCCAAACAAATTCCTGTAAATTTAAATCTAAGGGAATTGAACTGTAACAACTAACAAGCACTTAATAAAAAGAGTAAGACAGTCTTTTTATATTTTAGGCAGATTTATATTTTAAAATACATTTACCAATATCAATTGTTGTTCAATCACTCTTTTAACAGTAAGTCTTTCGAAAATATGAGCATAATGTCACTTAATTATACAATTTCATTTTAATTGCAGCACATTTACCTACTAAATAATTCACTGCTTCCATATCTGTACAACAACAGTTTAATTTTTAATTTAACCAACTTAGCACAGAAATTATTCAAGTGGGGGAAATCTGCAATCTAAAAATAAACTGCAAGGCTTATAGTTTAGATATTTAAACAATGTCCTGTATGAAGAGAACAATGTTTGTTTTAAAACTGCTGCCAATTTCTATGTAAGGAATGCTACTTGCATACTCTCTTTAGACTAAGTTGTAAAGTTTGAGGAAATATAAGTAACAGTGACCAAAAGTAGTAAAATCTAATCTGATGTATTTATGTGATATATTTCAGGTGGCTGCTGTGGGGATGGACGTAAATTTATTGTCGGAGGCTGGGGATGGGCCTGGTGGTGTGTGACTGACACTCAGAGGTAATGTTTTATATATACATACCCCCCCCCTCATTTTTAAACCCTCAAAGGTAAATGCAAAATAAAAAAATCCTAATTATTTTATATTTTAACAATGGTCCTCCTACGGATATTCATATGAAGCCTATTCATTTGTTGACCTGTTGAACAAATTAAATATGAAATATTTTACATTGAAAATATTTTGACAATGAAAATAGAATAGTCCAGATTGATCATTGACTTTCTTTATAATTAACAGCATATCTTTGGAGGTTATGACTTTGAACCCTCAGTGTGAGAGTGTGGAAACATCAGAGGGTGTACCAGTGACCGTTACTGGCGTGGCTCAGTGCAAGATCATGAGACAACCAGACATATTGAAGACAGCTTGTGAACAGTTCCTCGGTAAATCTGTAGATCACATACAGAGAGTCATCCTACAGACACTGGAAGGTCATCTTAGAGCTATCTTAGGTAAAATATTTGATAATGTCTCTGTTAACTATGTGAATGATACTGGCATAATGTCAGATCTATACCACTAGTATAGAGCTTGGGTAGCATAAATATACTGAAACAAAACAGAAACTTTCTCCAAGTTTGAATGTAGATATGTTAGTACAGTTTTTCAATCCTTTGAAACTCGATTTTTATGTTGAATAAA